AAATCAATAAAGCTGCAGTAACTGCAAAATATATAGCGTCGTAATCACCTCCCACTCCTCACATAATTTATTAGCGAGTCAAACTGGCCAAATTTTATGCCCCGATAAAGTCAAGGGTTTCCAAAATATTGTCCTAGCATCACTCTGGGCGGAATAAGTGGGTGGCAGCACGTGATTTGAGAGGCTAATTAATTTAAATGTCGAGTATTTTGCAAGTGTATTAAGGAGTGATCAAGTTGAGCAAAGATAGTGAAGAGTGGTCAATTTCAGCACAGATTCACCAGTTACCTGCACTCTGGAGAGGAAACTTTCGACGACGTTTCAGTAGAGAACGGTCTATCCTGGAGGTGAGGCGTCTTGAAAACGGTCCATGATGGTCCATTTTCAAGGCGCCTCACCTTATCTGAGAAGCTGAGGAGAAAAGTCAGAAGTCATAATCTCTACTCGTTTATCAAAATTACTGCCTACGAGAGGAAGAGACTTAGTACATGATGAGAATAGTCCCCTTCCCTGTGGGAGGGGATTATTCTGCATAAACTTTAAGTGGGAAACAAGCATTTTAAATTTACACTAAATAAGTGTAAAGGGCCAAAGACTTTTTAACACAATACCTTCGAAGTTCATACATAGGATGCGGTACCAACAGAACCCCTATAAGTCTTCAGTAGGAAACTTGACAACCTCCTTGCGTCAGTTCCTGATCAGCCAGGCTATGATGTTTACGTTGCACTGCATGGTGTTGTCTCAAATTTCCTGACTCGTAAGTATATTATACAAGGAAGCCTGACTTAGAACCGGGTCTCGGGGCGATGACTCCCGGAATCTACATAGTTGTAAGAACCTTCGGTTCTGGGGGTGACGTATGAACAAGTTTTCTTACATCTGCTGCCCCTGCTTGTCTAGCAGTAAATAGTTAACTGGATATTAGTTAACTGTTGTGGGCCGCATACTGGGTAAACTAGTTAGTATACTTACAGGGATTGGGCTTTAAAATGAGCTGCTAGATAACCAGGTTTTGCATGTAAATGGGCTGAGGTAGGATAATATATAGCCTTCAAAAGAGCTGAGGTAAGATAACAGCTCACAGCCTGTAAATGAACCGAAGTAGGCAATCAGGTCATAGCCTGTAAATGAGCGGAGGTAGGATAACTTGTAGCATGTAAAATCATCTATATATAAAAACCATCGTTACTTTCACGTCATCATAATTCACCAGGTAATGATCGACGTAAAAAAAATAAATTTGAATCACGATTTAATAGTTGTTATAAACTGTAAATTATGTAAGTACCGAAGATTAAATTATCTGGAGTTAACTACAGTGTTGGGTGTTGATAGATAGCTGGAGTGTCGGAAGCATGTTAAAAGTTTTGCACTCTGATAGGATTTTTGTTCTATTCTGTCTTGATGAATAGGACACCTGTATAACACTTAAGTTGCTTCACTGATGAAGACGTTTTGCCAGCCAGTGTTTTTTTTCTATCCAGCACAGGATACTGGAGACCGTGGAAGAAGTGGAGATAAACTTTGAGGTGATCAGTCCCATCGAAAACGTCGTCTTACATTCAGTTTGCTTTGCGTGTATCTTGATACTTGTCATTCTTGTAATGTTTATTTTCGAGTATATATAAGTGTCTGGTCTTAGACCGGGTCGCTGGGGAGGTAGGGGGGGGGGGTGATTGACGGAACCATTCATCAAGGATTACATGTCATTAAGACACGTACACAACTAACATGCTTCTTATTAATTTATTAAGAAAACGTTTCGTTCACTGGGATCTCCCGGAGAACACAACGTTTCCATAATAGAAATATATTAATGTTGCATAGATATGTGAAGTACATACTTGTCAGTACTAGATACTATCTTTATCTAGATATAACAGGCATTAAGAGGACGTGGAGAGTGACCACGTATATATACTGTGTTATAAAAGACGTTCTTGTCTTTCAAACTGCAAAAAAAATTTCTTCAACGGAGAAAATACATTTATAAATTTTAACTCGTCAGTATGGGAAGTAGAATACACTTAATATAAAGTGATTAGTCCACTTATTCTTTCACCATATTTTAACATTTTTTTTTGAGCTGAATCTCGCTATTCCTGTGGATAAATATGAATAGTCGTATGGTAGCGACAATTTTTTTTAAGAGAGCAAAAAATTTGAGCACTGTATTTAATAGTGTCCAAATTACTCTTGTCTTTTTAATAAATAAAAAGAAATAAACGTCTGATGTGGCCGGAAAATTTCACAAATAAAACACTAGTCATAAGTGATGTGGCAACTTGATTATGGTTCAGGAAGGAAGGAAATATTATCTAAAGCATCCTCTTTAAGTGAGGCTTATTTGTGACTTCATAAATACTTTCCAGAGTTTGCACTTTCAGATGAAATTTCCAAGCTCAATAAAAGTCACAGTAATTCACTTTTGTCGTTCCGTGATATTCACAAAAGATTGAGTCTCTAAGAAGAGCATTTGATGCGAGACTTGAAGACTGCAAGCTCAGCCAAGTCAAATTTTTTTCTTCACTGACCCGTTTAATTTCGACGCTGAAAGTGCAGTGGAAATACAGTGTCACTTAAGTTTAAAATAGAAGTTTAATAAGGTCGGTGCGCCAGACTGTGTTTGTGGATTCATAAATGTGGAGTGTCTTGTCAGGTGTTGTGATGTCAGATGTTTTATTATTAGGTGTTGTGACGTCAGATGTTTTATTGTTAGGTGTTGTGACGTCAGATGTTTTATTGTTAGGTGATGTGACGTCAGATGTTTTGTCAGGTATTGTGACGTCAGATGTTTTATTGTCAGGTGTTGTGACGTCAGATGTTGTTTTGTCAGGTGTTGTGACGTCAGATGTTATTGTCAGGTGTTGTGGCGTCAGATGTTTTATTGTTAGGTGTTGTGACGTCAGATGTTTTATTGTTAGGTGTTGTGACGTCAGATGTTTTATTGTTAGGTGTTGTGACGTCAGATGTTTTATTGTTAGGTGTTGTGACGTCAGACGTTTTATTGTTAGGTGTTGTGACGTCAGACGTTTTATTGTTAGGTGTTGTGACGTCAAATGTTTTATTGTCAGGTGTTGTGACGTCAGATGTTTTATTGTCAGGTGTTGTGACGTCAGATGTTTTATTGTCAGGTGTTGTGACGTCAGATGTTTTATTGTCAGGTGTTGTGACGTCAGATGTTTTATTGTCAGGTGTTGTGACGTCAGATGTTTTATTGTCAGGTGTTGTGACGTCAGATGTTTTATTGTCAGGTATTGTGACGTCAGATGTTTTATTGTCAGGTGTTGTGACGTCAGATGTTTTATTGTCAGGTGTTGTGACGTCAGATGTTGTTTTATTGTCAGGTGTTGTGATGTCAGATGTTGTTTTATTGTCAGGTGTTGTGACGTCAGATGTTTTATTGTCAGGTGTTGTGACATCGGATGTTTTATTGTCAGGTGTTGTGAGGTCAGATGTTTTATTGTCAGGTGTTGTGACGTCAGATGTTTTATTGTCAGGTGTTGCGACGTCAGATGTTGTTTTATTGTCAGGTGTTGTGACGTCAGATGTTTTATTGTTAGGTGTTGTGACGTCAGATGTATTATTGTTAGGTGTTGTGACGTCAGATGTTTTGTCAGGTGTTGTGACGTCAGATGTTTTATTGTCAGGTGTTGTGAGGTCAGATGTTTTATTGTCAAGTGTTGTGACGTCAGATGTTGTTTTATTGTCAGGTGTTGTGACGTCAGATGTTGTTTTATTGTCAGATGTTTTATTGTTAGGTGTTGTGACGTCAGATGTTTTATTGTCAAGTGTTGTGACGTCAGATGTTTTATTGTCAGGTGTTGTGACGTCAGATGTTTTATTGTCAGGTGTTGTGACGTCAGATGTTGTTTTATTGTCAGGTGTTGTGACGTCAGATGTTTTATTGTTAGGTGTGACGTCAGATGTTTTATTGTCAAGTGTTGTGACGTCAGATGTTGTTTTATTGTCAGGTGTTGTGACGTCAGATGTTTTATTGTTAGGTGTTGTGACGTCAGATGTTTTATTGTTAGGTGTTGTGACGTCAGATGTTTTATTGTCAGGTGTTGTGACGTCAGATGTTTTATTGTTAGGTGTTGTGACGTCAGATGTTGTTTTATTGTCAGGTGTTGTGACGTCAGATGTTTTATTGTCAGGTGTTGTGAGGTCAGATGTTTTATTGTCAGGTGTTGTGACGTCAGATGTTGTTTTATTGTCAGGTGTTGTGACGTCAGATGTTTTATTGTTAGGTGTGACGTCAGATGTTTTATTGTCAGGTGTTGTGATGTCAGATGTTGTTTTATTGTCAGGTGTTGTGACGTCAGATGTTGTTTTATTGTTAGGTGTTGTGACGTCAGATGTTGTTTTATTGCCAGGTGTTGTGACGTCAGATGTTGTTTTATTGTCAGGTGTTGTGACGTCAGATGTTTTATTGTTAGGTGTTGTGACGTCAGATGTTGTTTAATTGTTAGGTGTTGTGACGTCAGATGTTGTTTTATTGCCAGGTGTTGTGACGTCAGATGTTTTATTGCCAGGTGTTGTGACATAAATCTTACGAACTTCTTGCCTTCATTACACACTTTGCTTTCTTTTGTTTCTTAATATTTCTTTTTATTGAGTTTCGTTATCAGTTTAGGTGTCCCAGACAGAGACCTGAGCGATGATTTCACAGACTCGAACACGTAACATTCATACCTAAGCTGAAATTAGTGCTATTATGCTTGTAATTCTTTAATCGCCAGTTCTGAAGCAATTACTACTACAATTACGTCACTAAAACTGCAAATAATAATATTATTAATATTAAAATTACAACTACTACAGGTGTTCTGTCATGAAAATATATCGCTTATTCTAATATTTATTCTCTTCTCATTATCTATATTATTTTTATAAGATAATCACTAATGAATGTTCTTTTCTCTTTTCACCACCACCACCACCACCACCACCACCACCACCACCACCACAACAACAACAACAACAACAACCAACAGGGCTGAGCTTCAACCTGTCAGCGGTACAGGGTAAGGCGTCGGCGGGAGCCAAGACTGTTGGTTCGTTCTTCTCAACAGCGTTCAGCAAGGCAGGCGCCAGCGTGAAGGAGGCCGGATCCAAGATCAAGGAGAGCGTCGAGAAAAATGTGAGTATTGTGGTGCATTTCATGGAGAGCTAAACCAGTGTGGGTCTTTAAGCGCAAAGAAGGGTGGAGGCTCGTTTCTCCGTATACTAAACACGAGACAAGCACAAGGTTGTATGTCACCTGTTGACCACTCGTCAAGAACGCTTTTATCCCTAAAATAGGGACGAAAATAAACTTTCACGTATATGGAGAGAGAGAGAGAGAGGTGCGCATATATCCTTGAGTGTCCACCTACTTCACTTTTTTTTTTTTGTTACCCAAAGTATTCGCTAGAATGATGGTGCTTGACAGCTTGTTTCACTCGTACACAGTTCTGTTGTCCAACATTCTCCTGTTTACACGTCTTAATGACCAACATACCTCAGCTCATTATTGTGCGTTTAATTCATGTTAAGCGCTAAACCCATGTAGGTCATTTAGCGCAAGAGGTGGTGGAGGCTTGATCCTCCGTCTGCTGAGCGCGAAACAGCTCATTATTACCATTTTTTTTACAAGCAACAGAGAAACGGAATAGTATCCATCTAACTTTCCACATGCATTTCCACCCACTCCGACCTACGCCTACCCACACCCAACCTTCTCTATTCACCTTTTGATACCTTGGTTTGTCGTGCGAGGAGGGAGGGCGGTGTGTGTGTGTGTGTGTGTGTGTGTGTGTGTGTGTGTGTGTGTGTGTGTGTGTGTGTGTGTGTGTGTGAGAGAGTGTGTGAGGCCATCATTCAAGACATTCCACCTGCATCTTTCTTGAGGGCCCTTTCATAAATTGCTGGGTTGCTTGCTGCAAATATTTAAATCGTAAATTATAGATCCTTAGATGTAAATAACCTTGGCCACTTTAGACAAAGGTAGGTGGGGGGGGAGTGTAAGTAAGTTGGTCGCTGTAGATACGTTAATCATTGTTAGGATTATCTGGTTGCAAAAGAACAACTTTGCCTAATAGACTAAACTCGGTGATTCGGCTTAAACGGCATGTGTGTGTGTGTGTGTGTGTGTGTGTGTGTGTGTGTGTGTGTGTGTGTGTGTGTGTGTGATACGTTGTCACAACTGTCACGTTATTTTAAAAGCGAAGTTGGATAACGTGCCCTTTCATTCAGTGTGAGAAAAAAGTACGAAATGTATGTTAAGAGGAATAAGGAATGACTAATGAAATGATGTATTTGAACGAATTTTACCAGTGAGAGAGAACGATGGTTACCCGTCTTGTGGAAGAATCGTCGCCTCGGGCTCTCAATAGCGTTTTCAGTTACTAGTAGAAAGGAATTTGTTGACTCGATCCACCTGACTTTGAAGTCTGTAAAGTGCTCATTCTAGTGTGGTTGTGCTCTCTCTCTCTCTAAGCCGTGCCTGACCACGTGCACCGAGCTAGAGCAATAAACTACCCACCTAGGGGTAAATTGCTGGTCTCATGCATGAGGCACAAAGCCAGTAGTAGGGACGGTGACCAATTGTGACCACTTCACCTCACACCCACCATTTTGTTGGCACCCCTGAGCTGTTACCACCCACCTCATGTGACACTCCACCACCAGCTGATGTGTGACACTCAACCCGATATGTGATGCTCCATCAGCTGATGTTTGTTGACACTCCACCAGCTGAGGCCTGTTGACAGTCAACTGATGTTTGTTGACGCTCCTCTAGCTGATGTGTGACACTCGACCAGCTGATGTTTGTTGTACCTCTCCATCTGGTGATTGGTTCTTCACAATGGCTTTGCTGTTGTATTTCTGTTCAAGTTGATTTATATTTACTTACGTGTAATTTATAATGATTCTTCTATATTTATATACAGTTACTAATATAAACTTGATTCCCTTTAGTTTCCTTTTTCCTAATACAGAAAGGGTCGGGTATTGGAAGGGGCGACTGTTGCAGAGGGTGGGTGTGGGAGTGAGCGGGGTGCATGTGGGTGTGGGAGGGATGGTTGTGGGAGAGTGTGGGAGAAAGAGGGTATGCATAGGAGGCATGGGTTTTGGTGTAGAGGTGGGTGTGGGATGGAGTAAGGGTGTGTGTGGGTGGGGAGGCAAGTTGGAATATGTTGTAGGAAATAAAACAGCACTGATAAAATGGAAAAGAGAGCAAAGAAAAATGGAATAGCACATGTAGAGAAAATAAAATTGAGATGATTAATGTGGGTGAAATGGTTTGGCTGTTGTTGAAAGCGTGAATATATTGTGTAGAAGAACAAGTTGGGCGAGTTCGTAGTGAAATTTTGAAATAGGACTGTAAACGAAATAGAAAAAGTATGTGTGTGCGTGTTACTTTGTCATAGAGGTCAAGCAGATTCGTGAGACAACATTTATCACCTCTCAATCCGTGCTAATTGACTCGCGAAATCGATTGTAAATAGCTCACTGAGCAGAGGGCTCGAATCCATGGTAAGGGAGCCCTAAAACTATCTTGCCATGGGTTAGAGACGTTTGTTCGGTAAGCCACGTTGGTTATTGTTTATGAAAGTTATTCTCTCCAAGTTCTCCACCACTCTGTTGATGGTCTTCTCCATTACCTTGCATAGCATGCATATCAGTGATAGCTATCTTTATATTACATAATGGGACTACATTCGGTGTTTTCCGGATCTCTTGTCATTGTCCCATATTCAGTGACTTATAGATTTTAGCTAGTCGTCCAGACAGTGCTGTTGCTCCCTCTTGCAAAATTCATGATGACAGTTTGTTGGATCCCATTGTTCTTAATGTATCCAGCTCGCTCAAAACTTTATTCCCCTCTTCCTCTGTTGTACGTATGATGACCAGGGGCCTTTGGTGTTCTTTCCCTCTTGATTCTCTGATGTTACCCCTGTTTCTACTGAGAACACCTGTATAAATCCTCACAGACCTTCTTGTAGTTTCTCGTAAGCTCTTCTTTCCTTCCTTCAATTTGATCAACTGATCTTTTACTGTTGTCCTTCTGATGTGACTGCAAAACAGTTTTGATTCAGACTTGGCTTTTGCTAGTATATTATTCTCCAATTGCTACTTAGCTTCTCATCCGTGCCTGTTTGTTTCTGACTCTCTTCTCACTTTACCTGCCATTTTCTCTTCTGAGTATGAATTCGTGTTCTCTGGCCCTCTGCGTCTTCCAGTCCCTTCAAAGTTTTTTCTTCTGAAGTCTGGTTTCTTCTGTCCTCTACCTGCTAATTTTCCCCAATGTTTATTTCCACATGATATTCGAAATTCAGTGCTGTATGATCGTTAGCTCCCAGAGTCTTCACATATTCTAGTACACTTGTATCAGATGCACTTAGAGTAAATACTAGATCCGGTCTTGCTGGCTCATCCTCTCTTTCTCTCTCTTGTTGTGTCCTTTACATGCTGGTAAAATGTTTTTCCATCACCTTAGTGCTCGATGTTTCTGGTTTCCTTCGAGGGTCCCAGTTCTCCCTGTTTTATTTCTTTGTGGATGAAATTACCATGTAAAATTTTTTCCCATTTGGGCTCTTGTTGCTGCTTTCATTGTGGTATCAATCAGCGCTTTGTTGGTGTCTTGATATTTCGTTCTGGTCGGCTATTTTTTGGTGAATTGTAGGTCACTGTGTGTGTGTGTGTGTGTGTGTGTGTGTGTATGTGTGTGTGTGTGTGTGTGTGTGTGTGTGTGTGTGTGTGTGTGTGTGTGTGTGTGTGTGTGTGTGTACTCACCTAATTCACCTAATTGTGGTTGCAGGGGTCGAGACTCAGCTCCTGGCCCTGCCTCTTCACCGACCGCTACTAGGTCCTCTCTCCCCCTGCTCCATGAGCTTTCATACCTCGTCTTAAAACTATGTATAGTTCCTGCCTCCACTACATCGCTTGCCAGACTATTCCGCTTCCTAACTACTCTATGACTGAAGACTCATCTGAGTCTTCAGCTTCCAATTGTGACCCCTTATTTCTGTGTCCAATCTCTGGAACATCCTGTCTCTGTCCACCTTGTCTATTCCACGCAGTATTTTGTGTGTCGTTATCATGTCTCCCCTGACCCTCCTGTTCTCCAGTGTTGTCAGACCGATTTCCCTTAACCTTTCTTCATAGGACGTGTGTGTGTGTGTGTGTGTGTGTGTGTGTGTGTGTGTGTGTGTGTGTGTGTGTGTGTGTAAGTACTCGCTGAGCTTTATTTGCGGGGGTTGAGAGAGTTCTGTTTGTATGGGGGAGGTAAGGTGGGGGTTGTTGTGAGTGGGGTTGATCCCCCTCTCTCATCCACTTACAGACAAGATCATGTGTTTTATGTAGACTGACCCTGTGACCTACTAACGCTGAGCAGTTGTCATGCCAACCACTCTTCTCCCCTCCCCTCTCAATCTTCCCCCGGTTACTCCTACTACTCCCTTCCCCAGCCTATGCTCCCGCCCACGCTTCCACCCCCCATTACCTCTGCAGCCCCCGCCACCGCCCTCGCTGTCCGCCCACGCACGCCCACACCCCTTTCCCCGTTCTCCAGCCTTTAGTCTCACTACCCCACGCATCCCCACTCCCCACCTCCATCACATGCTGTATACTCTCATTTGGTTTCTGTTCCCTCCTGTCCCTCTCTTCCGTGCCGTCTCCCCTCTCTCTCTCTCGCACCTGCCACCCCCCTCCCTTATACTTTTCCGCAATTTATCATTACGGAAGTGCAACAGGTAATATATAATTTAATCTTGTGCAGTATAACCGTGATCTATAAATTAAACTCTTGTCTCTAAGTAACTCTAGTCCAAAAATATTAATTATTATTGTTATAAATAATAACAGTTGTAAAGATATAAGCAGTAAGTGGAGGAAACTAGAGTACATCGTACGTTCTGGAAACTGTTACCTGTTAGTTTTGGGCTTATTTTGCCCTCGACCTGGTCTCAGGCCAGCCCTCCACGAGTGTTATTTATCAGTGTATTTCCAACTCTGTTAATGGTCTTCATTATCAGGAGAGGTCAGGTTACTTAGCTTCTTTCACCCCCTCCCCAACCACCCTTGTCTTCCCTCCTCCATCTTCTCCCTCAGATGAGGTTCCTTGACGCTGGTCACAGGTTCTTTACCCATGAAGGT